TTTCTAGAAAACCACGTCTTCGAAGGGCTATGCGGAAGCTGCATGGTCGTATTCGTAATCAGCTTGGTCGGTAACCTATAACCCACTAGATTCCGAGCAAAAAGCGTTTAATCACTTCGTGGGGTTCTCTCGTAAGTACTTTTCACCACTCACGAGGGAACATTTCCAGCTGTCCAACCCCGATTTCTTTCAAACATCGATAGCCTATATCGAAATAGTAAAAAGCCTAAAAGGATGTATCCCCAGGGCTCTTGACGACCCGGTTTTCTGGAAAACTGGAATTCGAGAAACTCTAAAAAGTAACCGAAACGTTTCTTAATAAGGCTTTGTATTATAGCCTGAAAATTTCTGATGAGAATGAGACGTTTCCCAGCTCTACATGACCCTTCTTTGTAAAATTCTAGAATCTACGAGAAAAGCCCTGAATTGATTTCGTCTTATTTCTGCAGCTTTGAGCTGACAACGAACATTTCGAGATAGGCTATCGTGATGTATGTTTGAAAGAAATAGGGGTTGGGCAGCTGCAGTGGCGTAACCAAGATTTTTAGACTGTTGGGCCATTTTCCATAGAGTAGAAAAAATCGTTGGAACTAGGTGGGCCGAACGCTTCCTGCATGGGCAGGAAATTTTTAAAATATGTTGTACATGATAATTTTACTTGATAAGGACCGTTGATAGAAGATTCGTAGCATGATTTTACAACTTTATCTTCGTATTAAATTCTTTGAATTTTAACTATTCTGTATGAAATTAAGAGTACAGCAATTGCAATCTTACATACATGCTTCTTAGCACAACAAATTTCCTCAGATGGAAAAAGCTTACTCATGGTGCTCAATATATTTTGAAATGAATTAATATGAGAAGATGTGAACATGCGAAGAAATAAATGATAAACACATCCTGCTCATGCCCCGATATTTTACCTAATATAGATTTTCACGAGGCTCTTCAGTTTCTTCCGACAAACCAACATTGTCACGAGGAGCAATATTCTATGTTCCATGTGTTTTGGGGGCTCCTAAACATGAAGTTTAGCCCATAGGTGCTCGAAAACCTTATGGCCCCCGCGGTAGATGGAGACTTGCAAGCTGCGTAGAATTTAAGATGACAGTTCCCTGAATCGACTCAACGCCTCCACGAGTCAAAAATCCGAAATGTTTTGGTGGAGGTCGAATGTCCTAGATTTTCGGTCGACCGGCACATCGGGGTGGACCTTTTGTCTGAGCCGCTTTTTTCCACAGAATCGTGTATCCCGGTGTCCTCTATCGATTACTGAGAATCGTAAGTTTCTATTACTTTCGCTCTCGAGCGATCGCGATGAATTGTTGGGTTTCAGCAAATTCGTAATTGGTGACAATTTTTTCCAACAGTGATGGGGGATGTCCGGCTTCCACGAATTCCCGAACCATACTACCCCTATGAGAATTCAGGAACAAGAACCAGAATTCTACTTAACCACAGAAGAATTTTAAGAGAAAAGAAGAATCGAAAGAGAGGTCAGCAACTCTCCAGGTGAATTGTCGAAACTTACGTGAGAATACTGCTCAACCACAAGAGAGCTCTACTAAAAGTCCCAATAGCATAGGATGGTTTCGCTCTCCACTGATCGACCCTCTCCTGCCTCACCACTTTTCTCATCAAGAATACCGTTAAAATTATTGGATTATTTCTCCAGCACAGAGCATTTAGCCTGACGCAGAAAACTTTCCCTTCAAAAAACACAATCGGCAGAAATAAAACCTGTTGATCCCTAAAATTTACCTGTGATGCTTTGCCGAAATAAAAATATTTTTTTCTTGTTTTTCTTTACTATGAACTTATTTTATTTTATCAAAGAGATAGATTAATCTTTCCACTTTGATTATGTATAGCTGATTTTTCACACGCTTTTTCTTACGAAAACAGCAATCCAATTCAATCTTTTAATTAAAAAGTTTATATAAGCCGAGAAAGCTTTAGTAATTGGAATGAAATTTTAGTGAAAGAAATATGCCATAGATGAACTGAATTTACACGGTATTTTTTGAAAAAAATCGTATCGTACCGCAAAATACCAGCAATGACATCCGATAAGAGAAGTTTTAACTTTTAAAATCAAATCGCAATCTCGATTCTCCCTAACAGTCGCTGCATGACACAGAATCGTGGCAGGACAAATCTCTTCCACCGTTCTGTTTTTCTGAGACACATAACAGAGTATCGTCATTTATTTTCGAAAAGTTTTCAAAGTTTCGTTCCTTCGCAGAGAGTTATCACCATCAAATCCGCAAATGTTCGCCGCGAACTTGATTATAACAAATCATAATCGACATGGAAAGTACTTGTTAACGTTTTTTCTAATTTGCATATAACAGCCGAATTTCATTCAAGGTTGAAATTTCCTTTCGATTTATACCAATGTTTTCTATTGCCATGCAAAAAAGGCTAGTATTACATTCTACTGTAAAAGAAGTGTACAGCAATTTAAAGCACTATCTTACCGTTATTGTAATATTCAATCTAAAATGTGATAGATATATAGATAAGTGTATATTGCTTTTGTTTGACTAAACTTCATCGAAAGGTAATAGTGATATGTCAGTTGATGTTACTGTGGTACGGTTGATTTCTTTTCCATAAACAAACAAAAAACAATAACGCTATAAAGCTTTAACAAAATTAAGTGATAGTACATCGTCACTAATTTTTAAGGTTGGACTTTGCTCAAAATTTTCGGTCTAGCGGCTGTTTTTCGATATTTCATAAGTCTTCAGGAATAATGACAAAAATTTCGTTCTGGTATGTTTAGATGCGCAACTACTCATCGTTATTATATGTAAAAAGAAAAGGGAAGAAAAAATTTCTATCTAACAGACCTTTTATAAATTTTTTCTCTAAAATTGATGCCAGTTCCCTGTAGTCTGGTCATTTGCATTCTTTTTCCTTCAACCTCTTTCGCTCAAATACAACGAATAATAAATCATTCGAATCAGCTACCCACGCGCTACAAAATCCTGTATTTTTGTTTTTTAATTTGTCATGGATTTTTAGAGATTTTTGCACATATGAATGGACTAAAAGGCCATATAGTATTAAAAAAGAATCTCCGTGGCAGAGCTAATTAGTTACAAGTTGAAAAATAAAAATATCTCAGCAAATACTTATTAGTCTCCGAAAGAGTAGGTCATGGCTGCAAGATCTACCAGAGTGATCTCTGTGTTTCTCATATAACTATGATAGCTTAAGATGTCCTCTACAAAATGGAAGCTAAGCGATCGCTTAATCTTTCGTGGTTTAGGCGCGGCATTAGATTTCCTAGAAGCCCCAGGATCGATATTTCCTTAGGCGTGATGAATGGAAACATGAATTATTTATCACGCTGAGTCTCAAAGCAATCAATGCTTGTTTTTCGAAAATACTCAAAAGCCTAATGAAAACCTATATTAGGCGAAACGCACTTGCATGAAAATTCGATGGTTTTCATTACCTCGTACACGAACTTATGTGAACAATTTTGCCAGTGAAAAATTTTTTTCAAAATGCTTCGTTGTTTTTGAAATGTGCGCATAAGTTTCAAAAAACTCTTTAAGGGCTCAAACTGCACTAAAATGGAAATTGTTAATTTTCTCAGACACAGCTGATTCAGTTTTCATTATAACTTTGGGGTATATGTCACTTAATGTGCGCTGTAGAATTACGTAACAATAAGAGTTCCAGCTTTAACGGAATTTTTTTTAAACTTTTTAAATAGAGGATCAAAATCGTTTGAAATTCGCAAAAGGGATCTCTATCCTATCTGAGTACTTTAATTTTTTTCGAATTTAACGTTGAAAAATCGAGATTTTCACCAAAATATAAAAATGAACTAAAGATTTCGAAATACACATCAGTCGGCTCAATTTTCTATCCTGATTTTGAATAAGATATTTCTATTACATAAAAGTTGCGTTCTGATTGCGAAAATCGAGAATTATGAGCAGAATTCCGACTTTTTCGCCGCATATCAAGAAAAAAAGAATTTTCGACCTGATGCCCGCCTTTTTAAGTCGATCTAATGACATATTTGGGTAGCGCTCGAAGGATTACATCTAACTATTACAGTCTCACTTGAGTTCAAATGTGTTCAGTGGACTGACAGCACTGGAAAGAGGATCGCCTAAACTTATTCTGCTCTCGTCCTGGTCGTATTTCTTTGTTATAAATATTTGAACATTTCTTATGAACTTTATTCATCCGGATTTGAGTAGAGCTGTAAAAGTTGCATCTAAGGGACACTTTTTCGAACCGTTTAGAGGCCAGTTTGTGCAAGAGGAGGGTCAAAAATCGGGTATTGGTAAAAAGCGTTTGGTGCTTTAGCACTACATTTCTGGGATTTGCGATAGCGATATTCATGATCAGCGTAGCGGACTTGATATTCCTAGTTACTTCTGAAATCGAATTTGAACAAAACCTGACCATAACCAGAAACGTTTTGAAAAAAATTTCAAAAGCCTATTTTCTAAGGGATCTTCGGAGAGGCATTCATAATCTGAAACTTTAACATAGCAATATATTAGCTTTCTACATGATAGATAGCCCAAAATGTCTTTTACAAAGGGAAACTAAGTGACTTCTTAATCTTTTGTGTTTTAGACGCGACATCGAATTTCCTCGAAGTCCCCAAACCAACGTTTTCTTAGGTGTAATAATCACGCAAATAGATGAGAGCACAGATAATCGCCCGCGCTAGGTCTCGTAGCAACGCCAAGGTAACACATTGCTATGTTAGAGTTTCAGGTTATGAGATGGCTGGCCGAAGATCCCTTAGAAAACAGACTTAAATATATAACAGACTAAAATTTTTTCCAAAACGTTTCTGGTTATGATCAGGTTTTATCTATCGAATGTTGGAAACCGCAGGTCTCAGTCTCTTTTTGTTTTTCAGTTATCCAAAAATAGCCACACGCATGGACTTTTTGGACGGATGGTAGTACGTCTCAAAAATAAGAAAATCATCTGCAGCACATTTAAACAGCAGTTCGGTAAATGAGAAAGCAAGTTCAGAGGCGAGTCGCGCTAGAAAGAAGCAACCGCATTATGACTAACACAGATCTTGCATTATCGCTACCCCAGTTCGCGATCTGATAGTGGTAAGAATAGAACTACTGTTTTATTAGTAGTGAACAGAATTCGCGAATCACGACATGAAAGTTGTGCTGTGCAGTTTATGTTTTCATTTTTATAGCTTAAGTTGTCTAAAGATATCTCCAGCATCGAAAACGTCATATGTGCTTGAAATAAAGACACACAGGCCTCAGATAATTAACTGGTTCACTTTTCATTCAAAGGTTTTTGTGGCTTGCAATCAAGCCACAGTGAGCATATCTCAGTTAATACCCAATATACAAAATTTTGCTGAAGCAGCAGGGAGTGCCAGTTATGTCTTCGAAATCATCGAAAGGGTATCTCTGAAACGTTGCACACATATTTTGTAATCCATTATATATACTTGATCTTTAAGGAATCAAAAATCGACGCTTTTAACCAAGCCGGTCAAACGCCAGAAATTGTCGAAGGAGAAATTGAATTTCAAAATGTTCAATTCACATTTCCTACAAGGAAGGAGGTTCCAGTATGTGCTGTTCCTAACTTCTTTCTCCCAGCTAAGAAGAACAGTTATCTCTCTAGGTTTTAAACGACATCAGCATAAAGATTCCATCAGAGAAAACGGTTGCTCTTGTCGGAGCATCAGGGTGTGGAAGTAAGTTTATTTTTTTTGTTCATCTTTAGCTGGAATATTTACTTACATAGTTATTTAGAAAGTACAATTATTCAACTACTTCAAAGGCTCTATGATCCCCAACAGGGTAAGATATTGCTTGACGGTCGTGACATTCGTACACTGAATGTTGCTTGGC